TTTCTTCAGGATATTTCAGGAAATAAGAGGAATGTCCTCGATTTCTGTTGATATTTGAAATGGTCATGAAATTGTGCATTTTTTTCGTAATTTGACGTAGTTCGCATCTCTCTCCGTTTCCGAGTTAACAATAGTGTACATTGAAATTTGCATTACCCTGTATATAAAATGCAATCTTAGACTGTTATGTGTTATTGACAAGTGTTTAAATATCTCATGACATTAGACAGTGAAAAATATGTATATTAAATGTCCTCAGACAGTGAAAAAAAATATGACATGTTAAATGTCTTCAAGACAGGGAAAAAATATGTATGTTAAATGTCCTCAGACAGGGGAAAAAAATATATATTAAATGTCCTCAGACAGTGAAAAAAATATGGTATGTTAAATGTCCTCAAGACAGGGAAAAAAATATGTATATGGAAAATGCTGACCTTAACTGCAAGTTCTGGATTTTGTACAGGGTGATTCACCATAAATGTCCCCCCCTCTAGCTCACTTACTTTTGAATCTATCTAAAAATTTGAAAAATCATCTAAAATGATTTTTCAGAAAAAATTTTCCCCGTTGCATCAGAAAATACAGGGTGCTCGGACCAAACGATCTACAGAGTACTACTTGATTTTTTCAAATGGAACACCCTGTATTTCATTGTATTTTTATATTCTCCCTGAAGAGCAAATTTCATCAATGTATCACACTTGGGGTCTAGCGGGAATGATTACAGAGATATGGGGTGTTCAAAATCGAGATTTTTCAACTTTAGGATTTTTTTGTGTCGAAACTATTCATTATTGGTCAAAACGGCTTCAATGTTCCTATCTCAAATTTTGATTTACTATCTACTGACATTCAATTGGAACATATACAGTGTGATTCAAGATTCAGAATTCTGACCACCCTGTATCTGTTCCAATTAATAAATGCCCAGGGACATACACAAGAAATCACCAGGGTCTTGCTTCCACCTTCAAGTGTATTGGTGACTCAGGCTTCAAAGCACGAAGATCCCTCAGGTGCCTCAACCATCGAAAGAAGTGTCCACGTGATGTCCAAACAGTGAAGTCCAGAAAACAGTTCAAGATTTCTAAATGCCCATAGTTGATGAGATTCGATATTTAGTGATCCATCCAGTTAACAGTGTTGATTTATCAAATTCAAGTCCAGAAACATGCCATGTGGTCAAAAGAAAATGGAGTTTATATCATCTCAGATCATCCACTTCTGTACCCCGTACTCCCCTGTATAAGGCCGTGATATCTGAAATGTACATACCCTATCGAAAATCATTCACACAAAAAAAGATTTAATATTTCTTACCTTCCTATCGGAAAGGCCTAACACAAAAGTAGGTGTTCACCACCTGACTTGATCGCACGAGAGCCAAAATCAAAAAGGGCCTCATTTTGGCTTCAGCACATGAAACCTTTTCGCAAGAGAAGGAATCACCAAGAAGGATGATGACACGGAAATTGCTCAAACAACAAGTTTTCGTCAATCAGAGCACTTTTGATCTATTTCAAAAAAATAATACAAACCAAATTTTGTCTCTGCGCAGTGTCAATCTAGCCACCCAAATAATATGATTCAAGTCAGATTCAGGGATGCAACTTGAAAGAAATATTAAATATCGATCATGACATCGATAGTCGATACGATAGTCGATACATTAGTCGATCCACCATTACAGGCCACTGCCACTCACTGCCTCAGTGAGTATATATTTTTTTGGCTTTATTTTGGAGTGTCTTCACTTTTTTAACAAATTTATCACATGCTGGAAACCAAATCATCACCAGATATTGAAGGTGGCAATGTATCAGAGAGTAGTACACTGATCTTTTTATTTCACAGGAATATTTGATTTGGTTAGTGCTAAAGATAAGGGGTTCAGTTGAATTGATTTTATTGTTAGAGACAAACATGAAACATGACTTCTCGGTGTTTAAAGTCAATTTGGAACTTGCAAGCCATTTTTCAACAAGTAGGAGATCAAGCATCTTGTCCCCTCCTATCCAATGAAATCTCTTCAAAATAAATCCATTAAATGTATTTATACCATTTCTGGAATCAACATCTAGATTATACAAACCATGGGATCTGCTAGATATTGACTCCTTAAAATGAATATATGCATTTTCATCCATTTCACTAAAAAAAATTCTGAGCATCACACCAGACAAAGTGAACATTTGAAAACTGTCAGAATAAAAACCGAATTTGGAAAAAATTATTATATTTTTGTGGAATATTTTCAATCAATTCAACTCCTTGTATCAATTAATTCTGATTGAACTGCATATCTTTCATTTTATTTTATAATTGATTTATTGATTTGATTTGTTTCTCTCTATAATCATGTACCTATCTTTCTTGGGATCAATAAATGTAATTATCATTACTTATGATGAATAGGAAAAAAAAAAAAGATAAACAGAAGAGAAAAACTATGGAAATTCATAAAATATGTAAACTCCCACCAAGTCCACAATATCTGCTCGGTATTTCCATCAGCAATACTCTTTCATGGGAAAAATCATGGCAGATCCATCGCAAAAGCTGCTTCACAAAAACTAGGATTCTTGTTCCGGGCGAAAATCTACTTCACATCTCGACAGCTTCTCATGATCTACAAAGCACATAAACGGCCTGTTTTAGATGCTCTTAGATGCCATCTAGAAGAGAGTCATTCACCTGGTTGGTGGTGCCACACTCACTAGATCTTCGACATCGATAATTTGAACACCATCACTAGCAATACCAGTTAGACGCAATCGACAGACCCAGTCAGCACATCCTTTCTTTGTCAATCTTGAATCATGTCGAACAACACTTTACCAAAACTCTTGTGTCTATAGAGCTGCTTCGAAACTCTTCACCAATGGAAATATACCAAGAACTTATAACCTCCAGATGTTGAAAAAAAATGTCCAATACCTCTCTATCCTCCCAACGCCCAATGTTCTTCAAACATTAAATGATTCCCTTTAATGCGCTCCAAGAGAAGAAATTATAATTATATACCACGGTTTATATTAAATTTTTTCCACCACTAGCAATATATTTCAATCATTATAGTTCTGCGTTGTATAGTTCTCTGAAACATGGACCTATTGTTACTATGAAAACACTCATTATCAATCCTAATTTAAATCTAGTAGCTATGACCATGACAGCATTCGACAAGTCGTTAGTGATGAATACCTACTAGATTATTAGATTCGACTGCTATTTCTGCGAATCTTTCATCAGAACAGTAAATTCGGGTTAATCATAACCGAGGTGGCTGTCTTTATTGACTAGTAGTTCATAAAACAACGAAAAGAACCTTGGTATGAAAAACACAGTTCACGCCATGAAAAAGAGTAAATAATGGTAGGTTCTATTGTTGGTGGTACAAAAAAGCTTTTAGCATATTTCCTCTCCTTCAGAATTTATTTTCTTGACTCTACTTTTGAATTGTCTTATATTTGTACAATTGACCTGACTTCCCTACTTAACAGATCGAACCAGAACCTCCTGCAACCGGACCCGCGAACGCTCCTCTAGCTCGCAAAGAAGAAGACCACATGGACGCCCCACCGGGGGAGCCTCGGAAATTGGACGTGCCCCCCAAACCGCCGCCGAGGAATGTGGCAGACCTTGCCCCCAAACCCGCCTACCCCATAGACTCGCCCAAACCCTCCAAAGAGGCGCCGCACGTCAAGCCGGCATTTCTTTTTCCCGACGTCGTTAAAACAGAAGAAGAAAACGGAGATACTGTTTTGTCGGTTTTCAAGGAGGATAAAGGGCTCGCGAAGGGTCTCGAGTCTAAGCTGGCTTCCACACCTGCAACAAAAGTAAGAAATTAGGAATAGTGAGGGTATATCTTCATGAGTTAACGTGGACTATACCGGGTGTTTCTCAAAAGTGGCTCACCCCTATAACTTTTTTGTTTCTAAGGATAAACAAACGAAATTCGGTGTGTAAGAATAGTACATAAATATGCATTATTTGACGTATTAAATTGTTTTCTGCCACTTCCGGTTTGACCGGAAATAACCCTTATTGTGAATACAATGACATCCCGTTTGCCACTTTTTGATATTTATCATCCTGAGATTTTCATTTTCGAATTTTCAATCTAGAGTGATTATGATACTGGATATTGATTCAAAATATCGATTATGTGGCATCAACGTGTTCGTAAGAAAATACCCTTGTTCTATTTTGAAAATTTGAGGTAACATCATAATTAGGATATCAAATTTTGAATGAACTTTTGAGACAAATGAAAAGTAAAACTTCATTGAAACTATTTTTCCTTGGCAACTTGTTTCAATACCAACTGTTTTAACTAATTCATGGCACTCATTGTTAATTGAAAAATGAAAATGTCAGGATGATAAATGTAAAAAGTGGCATATGGAGTGTCATTGTACTCACAATGTGATTCTCCATTGAAATTATAAAAAATATACCCATTTAAAATGAGATGATAATAGTAATTTCTGGTCAATCCGGAAGTGACAGGAAACTATTTTATTTGTTCATTTGTCTGAACAAAAAAGTTATAAGTGTGAGCCACTTTTGAGAAACACCTGGTATATTGCGAGTGGGCCTGTTTCAGTGAACAATTTTATTTGGGATGTCTTGCGTGTACTCAGGGATTTCAACAGAGTTACGCTGCTGTTCAATCCTTATGCTGTGCCCCAACCAGTTCTCTTTCGCAAACCGTTTTTTCCTCAGAGCTCTGTGAATGTCATTGTCTGCTAAATATGGAGAAAAAATCTAGTGAGCTGGAGTATCTGGTCTGCCCAAACAAGGAAAATCACCTACAGCGTTCTGTGGCCGATACAGTAGTACCGCCACACGGTCAACTCGAGGAAGCACTCATTTCAATTGTTTTCCTGTCAAACCTACATAACCTTGAGAATCGTAAATGAGTTGAGCCTCCCTCAGCGGTGCTCGCGGCAGTCTCGGCCGGCGGCGTAGTTTGTTCAGTGAGTTTGAGTTCAGTCACGACATTCACGGGTCACGGTCACTCAGTCACTCAACAATTCAAAAATTGTTCATGCAGATATTATTTGGAGATATGACAGATAATATGTAGAGACCGAGCCCCCTTACTGGCATACTGGCCCTCACAGCCCTAGACGGAATACGGAATTCTGTGCATATTGATTATAACGATGGTGTGAAGCTTGGGAACATAAATAGTGAAAGCAGTGACTGGAGCAGTGATTCCTATTTTATGGTTTGTGCAGTTTCTTGATGTGCTCAGCTGTGAATCAATTGTGGAAATGAATTAAAAGAAGTTTTTCATCAGGAATAAGCAAATATATGGCTATAATAGAAGAAAACGTATCATGAAGAATCTTATCCACAGTTCTTATCTTGTATCTTGAAAGTATCTTTTATTCTACCTTGTATGCAGGAAAACATGTTTACCAAAGAAAATATGCACATCTTTCAGATTCGAACGTATGGGAACTCAAGGAAAGTATAATTACTATTGCTTCAGTTTTCTGCTGAGCCCTAAGAACTAGGTACCTAGTGAATATACAATGTGAGAAATCTACAGTAATTGAAATCAAAAAAAGGACCCAAATATGTTTCAATGTTGGATAGTGGCCATTTCTGGAAGGAATTTTTTGTTCACCTTCATTTGATGAGAAATGAGGAGAGACCTCTATAATTATTTAAGGTTTGATGAAAATAACTTCTTATTTTTAAATATTTTAAATACTCATGTAAATGTTATTAAAACCTTCATGTAGTAAGCATATAAGTTGAAGCTATGAGAATGAGTTTGAGAATAGTTCCAATCCTACAGGTCATCATGAAAGTAAATAATGTTTTTCATTATTGTGTTCTTTACCTGCTGATGTACCTACCCATTTATTTCATGTTTTAGGTTTGTTATCTTTGGTGATGATTGGAAATCAAGTTGAAAATAACTAAAATGAAATGAGAAAACGATGGCATCACTTTTATGAGTTGAAATATCATATCACTGCTGTGAAGAAGAGGATTGCTGCTTCTAGGTATGAAGGTATAGTAGGATTTTAACTTTTGCATTATGAAATCCCTGAGATATTTCTGATACTGTTTCCAGGTTAGCTTCTCTCAAGGCTTCACTAGCAGACTCATGTCATGAAAAGGTTGGCTTCAGAATGAGAAATGGTGGGTTCATACAGGGTGTCCCAAAACTCAACGTCACCCTTCAAAGAGCTGATATTGAAGCTTAAGACTGACCAGTTTATCACAATATGACCTCAGTAGATTATTGAAAGTTTTGGAGATATTGCCACTTTTATGGATTCTGTGAAAATCAAATCTTTGATCAGTATTTTAAGTTCCACAAGTACAAAACCAAGTTCAAAACTTATTCTTATTTTTGTTATGCAACCTGTAATAAAAACCCTTCTATTGATTACGATTAAAAATAAAAATATTGGTGCAATACCCATGGACAAAAAAACATGCTGATTCAATAGTTGATTCATTTTAATGTTTACAACATTCACCTATTTAAAACAGATAAAAAGTGTACGGAAAATAATTTAGACATTCTTCATAGATTATTAAACAGCTTTAGAACACTTGTCAGATCTTTGCTTCTAAGGTTATTAAAATATCTGGCATAAATAGTGAATATTTTTATATTAGTATTAAACTCATTCACTATAAACAAATGTATATTCATGTATATTTTTGTTATGAGGTTTCCCGTGAATGAATAAAATAAAAAATAATTAGCTCACTCAGACAGTAAAGAACAAGTCCATGAGATGCTGGAAATGGTAACAGCCTAAAAGACCCTGCCTAGTTGAAACAAGCTATTATTGGTTTTTTTCTTCTATCCATATTTATGATGCACAATGAATTATTTGATGACTATCAGAATTACGAAGTTAAATTTTTTGATAATGTCAATGATGTTAGCTATTTCAATAGTCCAAATGCAGATTTGAATATAATTCATGTTAATATTCGTAGTTTTAACAAAAACTTTGATCATTTCACTGTCTTTCTAGAATCACTGCAGAAAGAATTTGATGTAATAATAATGTCAGAAACAAACATAATAGGAAACCTAGATGACTTTGGTTTATCGAATTATGATGTCTACTACAATGAAAGCAAAAAAAAATAAGTGTGATGGCACTGTGATATATGTTAAATGTGAATTTGCTAATGAATCAAGTATTTTGACAGTGAACAACACTAAATGCTTGAGAGTCACCTGGAACAAAAATGGTATTTCAATAGGGATCATTGCAGTCTACAAGTCACCCTCTATAGATTGTGAGAGTTTTATAACAGATGCTGAGCAAGTTCTGAGAAATAATTATAATTATTGTAATATAGAAATATTTGCAGGTGACATAAACATAAATATTTCAGAAAAAAGAATAGGATAGTGGATGAATATCCAAATTGTTTGAGTGAAAAAGGTTATAGTTTTGTCATTGATAAAGCCACACGAGTGGAAAAAAACAGTGCTACATGCATTGATCACTATTTCATTAAATATAATAATATAAATGCTCTCCAAACCAATGCAATTATACTAAATAGTGGAATCTCTGACCATTTTCCAATACTACTAAATGTGAGATTATCAAATAATAGCCATCAAATCCCAGTGACAAACAAATATTATGAAAAACTTGACAATGATAAACTTGGAAGATCATTAGAAAATGAATCTTGGAATGAAGTAACAAATAGTAATGATGCGAATTCAAGCTCAGAAAAGTTTATCTCTATATTACAAAATCACATTAACAATGCCACTCATCTAGTTTATGGAAAATGCAGGAACAGAAAAATAAAGCCTTGGATTAGCCAAGGAATTATAAATTCCATTAGAGAACGAGATAGACTAAACAAGATTTCAACATTGAGTCACAATAATGCACAGGCATTACAGAAATATTTAAAATATAGGAAATATCTAACAAACTTGATAAAATTATCCAAAGTGTCCTACTATGATAATTTATTCAATGAACATAAAGGTAATCCTAAGAAGACATGGGATACTATAAAAAAAGTTACAAATACTTACTCACCTAGACAATCGATAAACAGTATCTACAATGAAGTTGGACAAGAAATAAACAACAGCAAGAATATAGCAAATGAATTTGATAAGTTTTTCTGTAAAGTTGGTAAACATTTTGCAAACAAAATTGAACCTACTACAGAGAATAACTCTATAAATGAGAGACATATAAGAGCGCCCAGAAATTCCTCATATCTAAACCCAATTCAAGACACTGAACTTATCACTATAATTAGTACCCTTAATGATAATGCATCAATTGGTCAAGATAAAATTGGTACGGAAATTTTAAAAAAATATCACTATTACCTGATGGAACCTCTATTACATCTGATTAATCTCACATTTAGTACAGGAATATTCCCAGAAAATTTTAAAACTGCAGTTATAGTTCCCTTACATAAATCTGGCTCAAAGAAACTCATCAATAACTACAGACCCATAGCTCTGACAAGCGATGTAAGTAAAATATTGGAAAAATGCATAAAACTACGATTGAATAGCTTCCTAGAAAATAATTATCTGATCTCAAAAACGTAATTTGGATTCAGACAGAACTGTAACACAGAAGATGCTATACTTAAAGTAACAAAACACATTACAAAAAGTTTGAACAATGACAAAAAATGTCTTGCAATCTTTCTGGACTTGGCCAAAGCCTTTGATACTGTGTCACACCACATTCTACTGAACAAACTGGAGCAAATA